GTGAGATTTGAACAGCCGAACTGCAGAACTGCAGTCAGCTGAAGTAGCCTGCAGTGCTGCATTTAACCACTGCGCCACCTCGGCTCTTTATTGGCTATGTGATGCAACACTAAAGTGATGCATCATAGCAAACAGTTGAAGAAAAGTTAAATTGCAGCCTTTGCAATGTGCAAGTATGAATGTTCAATGCTTCCTAATGATAACACATTAACACACACTTCTCTCATAATCTGTCAATGTTCAGGGTTCAAAAAACATCTAAATCACTTTAAAAATTTAAATAAAATATTAATTGTTGGCAAAAACATAATTCACTCAGTGAATGATAAATGATTTAAAGTTTGCTGATTAAACAAGTTTAAGAGCAAAATGCATATTCTGAACAAAGCACAAATCTACATAAATATGAGTGAAATAGTAGTTATATGCAAATAAATGTATTACCCAAATGCAATATTAATTTTACAAGCAGATAAAAATCAAATATGTCAGATGACGGTGAGATATATAATGAAAGGACGCACTATTTCTACTCATCTTGATTGCTGTTTTCAACGAATATTTACTTTATATGAATTGTATATATGGTATAGTAAATTTTTTATATTGTGAGTGTGTGTTGAAATTGATGTAGGCCATAAGCAGCCACTTCCGATAAACATTTTAGTAATTTTTATTTGCAGTATTTAAGAATTACAAAAATGTTTGTGAAAGTAGGATGGTGTGGGGTTTTTTTTGCCACTGGATGGTTTGTAGTACTTTTTATTCCTTTGTATTTCTTGTGCATTCTGAATTAGCAATATTTCTGATGATTGATTACTATTTTCTCTCTCTTTTTTGCTAATTAAATTCAAAAAGAGTAAAGCAATATTTGATGAAAGCATGTCTTTCAAGCAATGAGAAAGCAAAAATCCTAGACAGTTTCAAGCTTCAATGTTTTGATCGTTTAATTTTTTTAAAAATACTCTTTATGGCTTTATGCTTCTACTTTTCTCATGCTTTTGCTCCATAAAAATAATCACCTCTTGTCTTTTGAGAACATATGGATATGATTAGGATCTTACAGAGAACTCCAAGGCTTTTGCATGCAGTGTATTTGTAAAAACCTTTACATGCATTTTTCTTCTGCCCTTTTATTGCATATAAATATGGCATTTATTACATAAAAGCATGTCATCTTCTTTATATTGTTCAAAGGAACAAAAACATGAAAACCACTACTGTCATTTTCAGCTCTGGACATGCATATAAAAAGCAAAATTTCAGTATTACTTTAACTTTGATTAAAAGGAGCATATATTGCCCACATATTTGCTATATAATATGTTAGAGAAGGAAGGGTAGTCTTGATATTTAACCTCTTGAACAAAAGATTGTTAGCAGGAGGAAGTAGTGATCCAATCCATTCTTACACATGTGGCAATTCTTGTTAAATGTTGAGACATAGGTCTCTACCTCTGTGCATTTAAAGAACTATATGGCTTAAAGAAATGCTTTGAACAGTTTGTTAAATATGCTGGCATACTTCCAAACAAACTTGCCATCACTGTTAGAATATTTTGAGGATAAAAAAATATGCAAATCGTGTTCCTTGATTTCATGAGGAACCCTCTGCTAAATAAAAGTGAACCAGGTTGCTTGCCAAGCTTTATGAAATTTACTTAATTGTTTTTCTGTAGGTTGCTCATTTGGGATGGCTGGAAAGGAAAACTGCTTCTGCTTTATATGAAGAACCTCCCTTAGCCACTGTCCAAGATGCACTGGAAAACTTCTTAAAGGTATTTAGACTGAATGAAACTCTAACTGATTAGTTACACTAGTCTTGCAGAAGCGTTAAGTAAAAGGTACTAAAGTTGGACTTTGTCATTCTATGCCAGTGACAATCATTGGCTCATTATATGTGAGTGCCAGGCATATGTGAACAAAGGTAAGATAAGGCATGACGCTGCTCTGTGCGTAAATAACTTGATTCGGATGTGCATAACTTTAACTTTGGGTATTTCACATTATGACGTATTGACCAGTTGAAATATTTTGTTCTAGTACTCAGTAAGGCCTAGTGAAAGGCTTAGAAAAGTCAACTTTTGTAATATTTGTTCTATCTCTTATTTTTTATTTTCAAGGTACTCAGACTAATTCAGTCAAAGCTCTTAAATTGTAGGTGTTGTAGATAATGCAAATGATACTGTAAATTAGTTAATCTGTGGATTGAATGGATTCATGTTTACATTTTATCTAGATCTTCATTCTTTCTTTTTTAATGACATTGCCAAAACTTAGCTGATTGTAATTTGCTACATTGGTTGCTGTATCACTCCTTATTTATTTTCAAATGTCTCTAGAGTCTTATATATTCCTTCTGTGTAGACAACAAGGTCCTCTGTTATGGTTATTGCTCTTCTTTTTTATCTGAGTTTCCTTTTCTTTTCTGTTGTCTAGCTTGAAATGTTTTTCTGGCTGATCTTTTTGCATTCCTCTGCTTTCCTAGGCTCATTTCTTAAAGCCCATTATTTATCCTAGGTCTCCTTTCATTTTTTCTTTTCTTTTCCATAGCATCTTTTGTTTAATTATTGAAGTTATACTTCATAGACAGGACACAGGGGATCTCAAAATTGAAGGGTTTGGCAGTGTTAACCCATTGATTTTTGTACACATTTAAATGAATGTACCATGCAAGTAATACATAGGAAAAATACGCAAGCATATTTCTTTTAGTTATTGATTACAATAGTAAAACAAAACATACAAAACAAATTGTAAGAAAAAGCGTTTCTGACTAAATTCAGAAAAAAAGAATAACATATGTAAGGAAAGAAAAAGAAAATGAGAAAAATAAATATTTTTAAAAGGTGACTTCCAATCTTCATCCAAACAAGTATAAACAAAAAATACTTCTGCCCCTGAAAGGTTGCAAACAAATATCCCTTCTTCCCATATCCTATTCCTTATTCATATGCAAATCCATAAATCATCAACTTTTCAGTCCTGGTGTCAGCAAAATATCTATAGAGGGTTACTGGAGATGAATAGAAACATGTCTTATTTTAGCCTTATTTGGTTTGGTCAAACAAACCAAATCCTGCAGTATTTCAAATGTCATAATGTTTTGTGTTATTTTTTTAAATTCTAGTACTAACCAAAAATAAACAGTAAACTTTTTTTTCCCCCTTTTCTGCTTGGAATCTTAAAGTGCCCTCTAGGGAACAATTTCTGAGATGATTTAGAATAAATGAAACAATTGTAGTTCACACGAAAGACTATTTATTTATATAATTATTTCTAAAATTTTATAGTGAAAATCCAAATAGTCCAAAGTTATCTAATCCCTAGCTTGTTTATAACTGTATTAGATCAAAATCTATTTTTTGCCATTTATTTCCAAGTCTTTAAATTATTAACCTTATGGTTATTTTTCTTTTATTCTAGAATGAGGGGAAATTCACCAGGTGGCTTTTCAAACTCATTTTGAATATCTTTATTAGCCTTAAGATAATTAAATCTGTAATTTCCAAAAGTATTTAGGAAGAGAGGTTAGCAAATCCAGAAACCACTTTAAAAAAAGGCTCTGCCATAATTGTTAGCATGATGGCTAATCTCTTCATCTCCCAGCACTCAAGCTCCTGCAGTCTCCTCATGAGAAGCAGCCATCTGGTGCATATGTGGGTAATCTCCCATCCTCTCCTTATCTGGAGAGGTTCCATAGGACTGGTCTACTTACCATTTGTTTGGTCTTTACCATGGGAGTTTTCTCCACTCACTTGCAAATTTGCTAGTTCTACATTCCTCTTTGGAAGTCCATAGCAAATAATGTATTTCTCTCCACATCAGCTGATACGTTGCTCATTTGTGTCTCTATAATGATATGGTTTTGCCAGATAGAGTTTGGTGGCACTTCAAAATTGGTATGACACAAATGAAAATGTACAAGGTCTTTTTTTTCTACTGCAACGAGCCTACTGATTTCCACTTCCGAAATGGTACTATACTACTCAAACTTTGTATTTTATATATAGGGAAAGGGAATTAAATCATAAGAGATGTATATCGAAAGTATTTGAAAGCCTAACATATTTTTAGTGATGATTTTGACTCTCTTTATTTTCTTTTTGCTTGTCTTATAGGCTGAAGACCTAAACCCTGGTTTTTCAAAAGTGGGAAGAATATATATTGCCAAGGTGGGCGATGTGTGTGTCTAGTAATGTGTTGGTGTGCAACCACTTTAAATGCATCAAACAACCTTATAGTCAATGAACTTACCTTACTAGGATTATCACCAAGCCATTGGTTCATCATTATTAGTACCATGTGCAATGACAATAAAGTACACTGAAGTAAACTGGATGACCTGTTTCTTGAACAGGAGTTTAATATCTTCAGTGTAGAAAAACATTTTGGTAGACACGTTTCTGAAATTCTCAGGTATAAGCTTCTGAAGAATAAATCCAAATATTAACATTTCAAGTCATAAGGCTGGTCTTGTAATTCCAGTATGACTCACATATAAATCTGAAAGATGCTTTTGATATTTTTTTTCTACATGTAACTTGTAAGCTACAATCTAAACAAGTCTGTCACTGCCGAAGCATCATTCTCTTCTTAAAACTTCTGTTTCTTCAGCTGAAATTCAAAATGTCTCTGTTCTATAAAAAATTGTATGATAAATGTGTTTATCCATGTGTGAGAATGCAACAGGGTTTTTTTCAGTCTTTTTAGTGTAGGGACTCCTAAAAGCAATCATTTGTATGAATTTATTTATGGTTAGATGTTGATGGTTTTAGCCTATGAATAAAGCAGAATGCCTAACATGGTTTATGCTCTGTCTGGACAAGACAGCTCTTGATTTACCAGGCAGAGTGGGAGCCTGGTGTGGCAGTGACCCAGCTGGGAATGCATGAGAACCGTGTCTCCTGATGGGAGATCAGCACTCTTAGGCTGCCTGAAATGGGCCTGCAGACTAAACCTAGCCTGAAGCCTCCCTCAGGAAGAAGCCAAGATAGAGGTGTCCTTAAAAGAAAGCTCAGACTAGGCAAAAGCCCCATATGGCCCATATAGCCTTGGGTAGCATGCAGCTGGAACTAAGGGCTGCTGCAGGAGCTGTTGCGGTAAATGTCATCAAAAGGGAGCTGTGGTATTATCTGTGCCATTGGGTGCAACCAACACAGCAAACATGGCCGATCACCCTCAGTCCACCATTCCAATTTCTATGCATCTTCCCAGGGGGTCGTGATCCATTATTTGAGAATCTGGGCAATAAAGTACAGGGATAAAGAAGCAACAAGTTTCATAAAGAAAAGCTGGCCCTAAAAAGGATGGAAATTTAAACTTCTTTCTGACAAACCTGGCAATATACTATCCTGTGCATTCTTTATTTCGGGTATCCAACTGGCTGGGGAATTCTGGGAATTGAAGTCCACAAGTTTTAAAGTTGCCAAGTTTGAACAACCCTGCTTTATTTTATTCAGTGGACGGTATCTGGGGTAAATGTACATTAGATAAAGGCGTTGCCTAGCTGCTCTGTACGGCAACGATCAGGAAAGGCTACGATTCTTCCATTTGCACAATGTTAATGTTTGAAACAAGTAAACTTATTTCTTATTAGCTGCAAAAAAGGAAAATATCCCGTTGTTTTGATTTTCTCTTTTCCTCCTTTTACAGTGCTACAAGGAGCTGGGGGATAATTCTAAAGCTGCGCATTGGTTGACTCTGGCTTCACAGTTGCCAGTTATCACAAAAGAGGTAGCATTTTTTATTCATTTTTGAAAACAGTTAAGGGTTTACAGAGCAGTCCACTGGGATGAGAGATGGTGAGGAAAAAAAAATAAAGGAAACGGTAGAAGAAGTGCTGTGCCCTTTGGCCTGATTACTTCATGTCAGCGGAGGCCCCTTCCCCTATTCGCCACTTGGCTGAATGTTTCCTTTTTAATTGTACTTTTCTCTTCCTATTGCTCCCTCTGGGAGAAAAACAAAACCTTCCAGGTCTAAGAAAAAAATTTCTTCTGGAAAAAGGGCAAATGGGATGCTGTAATTGAAACATTTCTCAGGAAAAGATTTCTTATTTCTCCTGAATATCTGCAGTGGACTTTTTCACTTCCGCCTTAAAAGCACTGTCAGCAAAATTTATCTGCTTGTGGACAGTCTTCATAGGTGGGTAGAGAGTCCTACAAAATCTTATCATCCCTGAAATGGTCTTCCGTGAATTATAAATTGCCTTTTTCAGTTCTAGCCTGTCCCTCACTCCCTGCCTTACTTGGAACAGCTTGTGACATTTTAGTCTTTTTTTAAATCTCTTACAATGTGCCTATAACTTCTGCAGTATTTCCAAAATCTGGCTCTTCTCAGACTACTGTAAAGATAAAGGTTCCCCTCACACGTATGTGCTACTCGTTCCCAACTCTAGGGAGCTCACTCCATTACGCAGGACTAGGGATTCGAACAGTTGAACTGCCGACCTTTCTGATCGACAAGCTCAGCATCTTAGCTACTATGCCATCGTGTCCCTATCATATATATGATATCTATATATACAGACTACTATATGTTAATACTATTGTAGATATTCTTGTCTTTCCCATCTAGATCAGCTATCCCAGTGGGTAATGTTTGGGGTCTTTCTCTCCCTGCATCTATGGAAAGCTCTGTAGAGGCTGGGAGAGAAAGATTTTAAGCTCTGTGCCTCTTTGCATTTCTGCTGAGGATCTGCAGGAAGCTCTTTCAGCTAGCCCTCTGAAACCAGAGGGAGTCCTCTTGGCAGGTGGCACCAGCTTACAACCTTCCCTGCTGGCTTCTCCACTGACTTTCTGGGGAAGCCAACAGAGAAGATTGCAAATGGCAATTGGAGGGAGTTTGGCAACAGTGTGAACAAGCTGCCAAGCACCCAGTTCGCAATCATGTGACTGTGCATGCGCTAGTGTGAGATTTTGCGATTATCAGAAGTGTTTTACAAGTTATGAAGCAGCCTTTCCAAAGCTGTTGTGACTTTGAATGGTCGTTAAACAAACGGTCATTAAGCAAGGACTATCTTGCTTAATGTACATCTGTACACGTATTTTTTTTAAAAAAGATAAAAACTGAACATCCAATAAGAAAGCTGCTATGCATTTTGGAAATTGATATCGTAAAATACAAAAAGAAACAATCTGAATTTGGTAGATGCAAATAAAATTTGTTATTGGAATTAGTATTTCCTCATATATGATGTGATACATTTTTAAATATTTGTTAATCAATTGTAGATTAGATATGTGCTCAATGACAGCAAGGCTTTTCCTCTCTTGCATAACGTAAAAGATTGAGAAACAAATAGAATTCAGCTATTCAGGATTCTTCTACAAGTTTCTAAACCATCAGCCATCACACCTCCCTTTAATGTAATCTTGATGTACACACCTTCTCTAAAACTCCAAATATGAGCATAAATGAACAATGAAACATTGTTCAGCAACAATCCAAAGTTCTTCACCCCATCTCTAAATTCTGTCTGCACCATCTCAGGGAAGATACAATTCATAGTTTGGGAAACCCTACCTAGTATGTAGCTAGGAAGCTGGAGAAAGAAATCTAATCCTCAGGACCACATGGCTCATAGAATTAATCATAAATTACTTCCTAGCATTGATTCATAAATGTTTCTCTCCCATTCTTCAGGATGCAGAAAGCAGCAGAGATATGGAAGAGATGCAAGCAATTTCTGCTGATTAAGGAATCTTAAATACTCCCATCTTACAATAAGCGCTGAAGAAAATTCCAGTATAAAAATAATCTCACTGTGGCTCACACTAGGCTTCAAAACAAACCACACAGTGGGGGGAAAAATAAGCCACAATTTCACCACTTCTTTCTCAAAGATTGTAGCCAGCAATACAAAATAGTTTTTAAAAATGTAATTCAGCTCTCTCCCTTATCACAACATAAGACGATCCTAATTAACACCTGTGTTTTTACCTGTTTGTAGAATAAATGTTGGCAAATCCATTAGTATTTTTTCCATGCTGCCTTTGGAGTAATACCCATTCAGAAATCTCTAGTACATACGTTTTTTTCCAACAATTTCTGGGAAAATTGATAACAGCATCATAAAACATGTAGAATTATTTATAGCAATACAGTATCCCTATCACTTGTTACTACTCCTTATAGGGGCTCCTAAGTGCTTTATTCATGTCATTTGAAACATCTGCTGGGTGCTTATACTGTATTTTGCTCTTAAAGAGAAAAAAGTAGTTTGGAATGCCACTGACTGAAGAAAAAAGAAGTAGGAAATTCTTTGATTTTCCCCTTCTCCTAGTATCATAGCTCTGAGTTTCTTCAGTTATTGTTTCAACCTAAAGAAATATCAGGAAAGATTGTCAATATATTGCCTGAGTTGTATCTAATGTGGGATGAACCAATAGATCATGGCCTTTTTGGGAAATTGATTATCTTTGCTGAATAATATATTAATTCTTATGTCTGCTATTATTTAAGATGTTTTATTGGTTTTATGTATAAGAATATGTGTGGCATATGACACAAATATTTGAAAAGTTGAGGGAGTGACATGGTAAAATCTACCAATGCTGTTCCATGTGACTTATAAAATGCAAATTTAGGTGTGGTTTAATAATATAAAAGTAAGAATGCAAACTAAATTAGGTTATTATTCAGGAAATTAGAGGTATTATCCATCATAACAAATAATGGAAAATATTCAGTTGAAGTGCAAACCTATTAATCTTTTTATGTTCAAATACTTTATTAATGTTTGTTTACTAGTTGACAGGGTAAAGGATGGGGCCTGGTGTGCTGCCCTTTCTTGGAATAGCACAGAGCACCCATCTGCAGCATGTCCAGAGACTGAGTGGTCCTCCTTCTAGTTCTTAAATATTTTTCGAAAGAAATAACATTACTGCTAGAAAGAACAATTAAACACTGTTAAAACACAACACAAAAAAGAAGAATTTGCTTCAATTGCAGGGCTTAAAAAATACATATCAATGCATCCCTCCCCCCACCCCCGTATTGCAGAGAAAGTACATTATCTGCAATTCTGGAGATCATATGTCTAATCCAGTGTACAGCATGGAAAGAAAATTATATTTAAAAAAATTAAAAAGAGGGGGACCACATGTATATGAAGAGATTCTATAAGCTAATAAGCTGAATTGTGTCAGAGATGTGTGTAACATAGATAACATCAGTGAATATGAGGTGGAATTACGTTAACTAGTGGGTTTCCACTTGTTGTAGACCAAACGATTTTCCAGAATCCAACATAACTCTTTTCTATGTGTGCTTTGATTTTTGGCAGATATTTTTGAAACCATCATTTCATAATAATGATAGCTATATTATTACAGTGAGGTTTAATCCATCTGCCATGTTGGACATTTCTGTACCATGAGATCAGAGACAACTTGCAAGAATTTGATCCCTTCTCATAAAGATGGATATTCCATTACCCTTATATTGCTTTTTTTAATTTTACAAAATAATGTGGAACAAAAAGCAATATTTCAGTCCAAAATAATGGGTTTTCCCTGTTTCTTTAGTTTGTAACCAAAAATATCTAGAACCTATCTTATAAGTACTGTATGCTTCCAAACCAACAACGTAAAGCCCAAGTTTCATAATGATTTCAAAGAAATGTGATGCTGCTAAGACTATAAAATTTTTGCAGAGAGAGTAGTGTAATGTTTATATGACCAGATGTTGAAAATATGCTGCTAGCTTCTTAGCTAGTGGACTTACTTACAAATCTTCAATAATGACCTATACATTGTTTAGTGGAGCACCCAAAGTTAAACAGAAGTATAATATATAAATATTTTTATAAGACATATGACATAAGGCATTTTAAAAACACATATTTACTGGCACTGTTAATATTTTACTCTGGTAATGTGAGACCAAACTCCCCGAACTTCATTTCCCATTCAGACTTCTATATAGCAAGCTATTGTTGATTTCCTAATTTTGTTGGGTAGAGGAGAAATTCCTTGTGGAACATAACATGTTTTTGTACCTTGGATTCTTTTATATTATAACGAGGTGTAGAGTATATTCAATTTGAAGTCTTACAAAATTAAATATGTGGCATGTTCTAAGGGCAAAGAAACTTGCCTTTGCCAAGGAGAAAGAAAAATACTTATACTTTATTGCTTTTTCATGCAAATCATTTCAGTATTAGGTTCAAAATGTGCAGAAGCAAGTTTGATGCAGAAATTTTATTCTGATTGAATCATTCAGCTGTTCATCTAAAGCAATGTTTCTCCACCTAGGAAGTTTTAAGAGGTATTTTCAGAATTCCCCAGCCAATATGCTGGGGAATTCTGGGAGTTGAAATCTATACCTCTTAAAGTCACTGAGGTTAAGAAACATTGATCTGAAGAATCTTTTGTGAAATCTGTGGCCTTGTTTGCAGAGAAGAAGTACCCCTTGCCAATGTCAATTAGCTTTGTTAATATTTGCTTTCATAACTCTACATTTATTTAGCATTTTTATTCTATGTTAGAATTGAGTTTTGAGATGTAACTTTGTCACTTCCATAATTTCCAATGCTTATTTTTCTTATATCTCATTGTATAACCATGTTTTATATCATTTTATATAACTGACTGGTTTGTGATTGCAGTTAATTAACTGTTCCTTCTGCTTTAAAGATTGTAGCCAAAGTGAACACGCAGATACCTGACATTTGACTTCTGTAAGTAGTTGACCAGTCTACTGGTAAATGTTTGTGCACCGAATATTATTGGAGTGGCAAGTTGTGTAAATGTTTTATGTCAAAGCATCAGCTGCCTATTTTAATACCATTTTAGAACCAAGCTCATTATCAAAATTAATATGACATTGTAATAATCAGTCATAGCCTGAGACAAAGCGCCTGGGAAAACCTCATGTAGCAGGCAAACATTTAGAGAAAAATAATGGTGTTGTAGTTGGTCAGAGACTTACAGCCTGGTTTGATAAACAGACTCCATCCTCAATCCTCAGAAACCATCCTTGGTTATAGATAATCTTGGTTATCTTTGCCTTTAAGCCAAAAGACTCCAGGGCTAGCAGCAGGCTGCAGATTACAACTAAAGAATTCCTGATTTCACCTTTAAAATTTTCATATAGATTTTTTTTGTTCTGCAGTCTCTGAGTTACATTTTGTCTTTATTAAGGCAGTCAAACATTCCCAGGTTAGTTCTTTGGGAATCATGACAGTGGATGAACTGTGGCTCCTTTTCTAATTCATTGAAATACAGTTTACATTTTAAGTATACAAATGTGAGAATTTAGCTAATGACCAAAGTGTTGCCTTTGAGTACTTTTTAGAATAGACTAAAAAGCATTTATAAAAAATGAAAATAAAACCCTATATTAAATAGCTGCAGTGCTATATCCTACTACCCATGTGTAGACTCATTCAGGCTTCCCACTGAGTTAATATGTATGGGTTTGCACTGCACTAAAGTATACTTTGCTGGTTTTGCCACATTTTGACATTCCATATGAATTCTTCTGAATTAGAATCTTGAATGATTCCATATTTGTTGACATTATTAATTTACAAATGTGTGAAAGCATTTGTGTTATACGATACTTTTGGACTGCCTTACAAATATTTTAACATTGCATACAACCAAACTAATGTAGGGTGGATTCTAAAGTAACTGTCACAACAGTAAAGGCAATGAGATTAGGAAATTAAAAGTATCAATCCTTGAATCTGGATTGGCAAACTATCTTCTTTATAAGTGTCAACTTCTAGATCTAGTCAACAGTGATGAATGGGTGATATTTTTGATTAAAAGAAGACATTTGGTATGACTAAATTCAACACTTGTGTAGGCAGAATATTGCCCACTGATTGCTTTCTGTGTGTAGTTAAGACTCCAGCCTTTCCCCAAAGAATAACTGCATTGGAGAAGATGTAGTCAGGTGGAATTAGTTTAGAGTTTTGAAAGCTGGAAGAAAAGGCTTGGTATGTTTTTCAGGCTACAGTGTCTACATAATTTGCATTAATGCAAGGAAACTTTTTCTTATAATTCTATCCACTCCTTTGCTTTGAGAATAATGTTTTAATTAGTGTTCCAAATGTCAAAAGATGCCTGTGTAATTAAGTATCTTGAATGAGATGCAATTACAGAGGAGAGTAACCTTTGTTCAAAGGTGCTTGGAAAAGCATTGGTTCTTTTTCTTTAGAAGGTGTATTTTGAGCAGCCTTATGTCAGGAAAACAACATATGGATGTGTGACTAATTTTGCTGATTAACTGTGAAATTAAGGGTGGAAATACTTTACAAATGCACTGCCTCCCACTGCACGCACTGAAAAATTAATGTGAAAATAGTAATAGAAAAAGACGTATTGAATTACTGACATTGAGATATTTACTTTGAGTCTCTTTCAAGAGAGCAAAAAAGTCTCCATAAAAATTTCCTGATTGTACTGTTGTGCTTTAAAAAAGCTAATACATGAATTGACTGTCAAGTAATTTAAATTTCAACACAATTTTAATTGAAATAAAAGTAAAAACACTAAAAGTATGTTCATTGTTTATTCTATATGCGATTGTAGCTTGGATCCCAAGGTCCAATGTATGGGGTTCTATTTACAGAATATTTGCATTGGAAGAAGAAAGATATTATCCCAAAGGTGCTTTTTCAAGAGGCAACTGGGCTTTCTGGTTTTTCTTCAATCAAGAAGCTTCTCATCAGAAGTGAAACGTCTTCAAAGAAAAACTAGAAAGCCCAGTTGCCTCTTAAAAAGCATCTTTGGGACAACTATGACCTGGATGACTGAGAATCTCTGTAGACAAAGAAAGATGTTACTTTCATTGATTTTCCTTTGGATTTCCTAAAAAAAACATCTTTTGAACAACAATCTGTAACTTGATTAAGATGTATAAACAACAATATGATTTCAAAACTATTCTCATTATTTATATCCATAATTAACAACAAATAATAAAACCTTCCTCTTTCTCCATAACAGAACAATATCCCATCTTGATTAGTCAGAACTGTGCACTCTATACAAACATGGCACAGAGTGGTATTTCTAGAGAGTTTTCAGAATAATGGACTACTTTATGGCGAGCTGAGGAATATTTGCACACGAATCATAAATATTGCACAGCTAGAGCTATACTATAGACCACGGGTATCAAACTTGTACCATCACATTGCCATCACATGATGTTTTGTTATGTTTTTCCCATTCATGGAGCTGGGGTGGGCATAACCTGCCCATGACGCATCTAGTCTGCGGGCTGCCAGTTTGACACCCCTGCTATAGACCATAAGCTACTCAGTTGTTGATTATGCCAAACATTTTCCTTATAATTCAAGACTGAAAACTGTAAAGGTATTTCTAGAAATGTACAGTATACTGTAATAGCTTAATTTTTAAAACTTAGATTTCATTTTAAATCATGGTGTCTTGAAAATACAGCTTGAGCTAATAAACCAGTCATGAGATTGATATTGTTTCTATTCTATTCACTGTTTTTCCCCCACCAACTTTTCCAATTTACTTTGGGTGGTAGTATTTCTAACAAACGAGCATTTTAAAAATTCCTCCTGACCTGTTACAAGCCAATAACACTTTATTTTCTTTCCATAGACTAGACCTGCATTTCTTCAAAAGTCTTTTGAAGCACAGGGTTTTAAAGAGATCCTAATGTATAATTTCTGCCTGATCACTCTTACCACTTAATTTTTATTTCTTTATTATTTCTTTGTTGGATGATGTAATGTACTTTTGCAAAAGTGACCACTGCTTTATTTCCCATAACAGAATGTGCATTTTATGAGCTAAATTCAGGGATGGGCTGCTGGGGGTTCAGAGGGGTTTGGGAGAACCTCTAGTTAAAATTCTGTGCAGTTCAGAGAACCCTCAAATCCCACTCCTGGCTGGCCCCACCAGCCCTCCCTGCTCTTTCCAGGAGTCCCCATGCAGCCTGTTTTGGATGCAGGTAAGTGCAGGGCCTGCGCAGCGGCTCGGGGAGGGTGAAAAACAGGCCTACTGGATGTCCAGGAAGACTGGAAACAGGCCCTTTTCTTGTCTCCAGAGGGCCTCCNGCAACAGAGAAGGCTCTCCCCCGGGGGGGTCGCCAGCTGACATTGGCTGGCAGATGGAATCCGGAGAAGGCCTAGTCTGTGCGATCTGATCGGTCTATGGGAGGTAATTGGCAGGAGGCGGTCTCTCAGGTACCCAGGTCCAATGCCATGTAGGGCTTTATAAGTAATGACTAGCACCTTGAAGCAAGTCCGGAGACCAATAGGTAGCTAGTGCAGCTCGCAGAGGATAGGTGTAACTTGGGTGTACCTGGGTGCACCCACGATCGCTCGCACGGCTGCGTTCTGGACTAACTGAAGTCTTCGGACACTCTTTAAGGGCAGCCCCATGTAGAGCGCGTTACAGTAATCCAGTCTTACTGGATTACTTACTTGCAGTCTTAATCCAATGTTATTGCCCAACGTATCCCCCTTTAAATTCAGAGAGATGGATTCCATTAACATAATGCTAAGTCACAATATGGTAGATAAATCACCATGGCTAAGTCATAACTATAATTTATAAGCCACAATATCTAAATTCACACATGTTGTTCTATATCTAAACAAGTTATGACTTACTGCACTGTGCAAACATGTGTAAAACTAGCTTTCTTACACTTCAACTGTAACATATGATTCCATTCAGAGAGGTGAAAATGGGAAAAATATGCAAAGTATGGAAAACATACAAGACCTGAAAGTTGTGAAGATGATCCAGAGAAATTTGAAGTTGGCCTGAAACTTTACTTCCAAATCTCACAGCGTGGCTCATTGGTCAATTTGTTAAAAGCTTATAAGATATGCAGTAAATCTTTTGCTGCCTGCTTGCAGCTGCAAAATCAGCAGGAGATCAGCAGTAGAAGAGGCCATACTTGTGTAGTGTTATTACTATGCTGGAAGGTTGTTTTTAGTTCAGTGAATCAAATTGTGCAGAATGACTAAACTTCATATGGATGAAGATGTGAAGCTTGTAAATACATTTTGACCAGTGGTGGGATTCAAAAAATGTTAACTACCAGTTCTGTGGATGTGGCATGGCTTGGTGGGTGTGGCTTGGTGGGCGTGGCAGGGGAAAGATACTATAAAATCTCCGTTCCCTCCCCACTCCAGGGGAAGGTTACTGCAAAATCCCCATTTCCTCCCAATCAGACAGGACTCGGGAGGTAGAGAATAGATGGGGGCAGGGCCAGTCAAAGATTGTATTTATCAGTTCTCCAAACTACTCAAAATTTCCACTACCAGTTCTCCAGAACTGATCAGAACTTGCTGAATGCCACCTCTTGTTTCTATTCCCCCCCCCCCCCAATTTCCAATACTAGCTTTTCAGATTTTGGATTTGGAGAGAAGAGTCTGATGTAGGAATTCAAGCAGGTTGACTCCAGTCCATATGACAAGGTAGGTTGGGCACCATACAAGAGAATTGAAAAGTTGTTTAGTGAAATATTATTTTCATTGTATGGAAGGAAAAAGGTTCTGGCCATTTTATACAGTGGATTATGTGGAAAATGTTTGCTGTTCCATTTTTATCATTAAGATTCATGTACTATTTGCTTGCTTGTTTGCTAAGTTATAATGGATTGAGTTTGCACATGGCACTAAGCCCAACATGTAGTTCTACCATTAGCTTGAGGACTATATTGAGTTATATGTGGAATTGTCAAAGGTTATACTCCCACAATGAATGAAGAATATGATCACCACTTAAACTTCTGCTAAAAAAAGTATTTGGGGTCCATTTGCCTAAAGGGTGGGGTGTTCTGTGAGTTTCAAACAAGATGCTGGTTGGCCACCATAAACCATGGCTTAATAACCGAGCCTACAAATCTGTGGGTCTTCTCATTGATAACCAGGAACTTTGATTAGACAAAGAGAAGCTATGATATATAGAAGAATTCTTCACTTAGGATCAAAGGCATAAATCACATTTAGAATAGAATAACAGAGTTGAAGGGACCTTGGAGGTCTTCTAGTTCAACCCCCTGCTCAGGCAGGAAACCTTATACCGGTACCATTTCAGACAAATGGTTGTCCAATCTCCTCTTAAAAACTTCCAATGTAGCATTCACAACGTCTGGAGGCAAGTTGTCCCACTGATTAATTGTTCCAACTGACGGGAATTTTTTTCTTAGTTCTAGGTGGTTTAATCTCCTTGACTAGTTGCCATCCATTTACAGAATCTCAGCACTAGTATCAAATGCAGTTAAATCTACAATGTGACTGAAGCTGCATACATATAATAACGTAAGAGGTCAATTGATTTGATTTAGACCAGGCACAGAGTTCTATCAGTTCATTTTTTTAAGAGCAGAAAAGGCTTTTGTTTATGGAGGGAGAACTCCAAACAACACAGAGAAGTTAATTTTAGATTTTATATTAATAAAAAATTAAAATAAAATTTAAAAAATGTTTTGGTCCAGGAAAGGTGGCTACTTATTGACTGATGTTATCCTGTAGAAAAAAAAATATTGGTGGCCCTTATTCCTGAGATCTTTCCCTAATATAGTCTCTTCACATAAAAGACTATATTAGGGTTTGTTTATAGTTCAGGTAGTGCTGTAAGAATAGAAAAAAAGGGGGGAAAAGTAAGAATATAGAGTAGTGCAGAATTCTCCATGAGTATTGAGATTCCTGCCTGGGGACCTTCAACAGGTATTGCTCTGAATTGTTTACTCTTCACTTATATACAAGGCAGTTAATTTCACAGCCTCGCTCTTAGTCTTTATAATTGCAACCTCTCACTCGGTAGCCATTTGAATGGATAGTTATTAACTTGGAACAACCTATTAGGAACGGCCCCAGAGAACTTTTTCATGACAGCTGTTTAATTTAAACTGGAGTGTTTCAGTATGTACTCTCCTTCTGCTGCCTCTCTCTAAAAATAAAATCAGACAGAACAAAACTGATGAAAACCAGTCATTTTGCCTGGTTTAGTGATGACAGTAGTAAAATGAATGGCTATATATATTTAAAAGCAAGATAACAGTTCTTCAATTTAATTACATGAATCTGATTTATTAGGCTGAAAATTCCATTTCCCAGAGTAATAAAACATTGTTGAAATAATGAATATAGCAATGCTAAGCTTGTGGATTTTTTCTTCTTCTTTTCAAGTTTTTGGGAAGAAGAAACCAGAGTTATGCTGTGCTAATATTGATTGTAAGAGAAGGATAGACCCGTTTATTGCTTTGTAGAGCAAAGGTATTTCAAAAATATTTACAGGGAAAGCTAAATGAACACCCCCCCCCATATACAGAGATACTGTACCTTTCAATAAATAAATAAGATTAAATAATAGAAATGGCATTCATCACTGTACATTTCCTCTGAGTTTCATACAGTGTGAACCATATTTTAAGACAAAGCGAAGCATGTGTTCAGAGTTCAGAGCATTTATATAACCTAAAGCCTAGTTTGAAATAAATGTAAATTAAATCTTTTTAAAAAAAAAAAACATGCTTGGATATATCTTTGAAAGAAGTTAT